GAGCAATATAGTATAAGCATTAGATAGCACCAAGTTCTAACCAATAAAACTCTTAAGTGGGACCAGTAGATGACATAATCATTACGTTGCTGGACTCCCAAGTAGTCAACTGTAGTTCGCGTCCCGGACCCTGCAGCTTAAATCTTACACTGGGCACGTGTGCCCAGAATTCTGAGAGGAGAATAGAGGAGAAGGGATTGCAGCAAGACCATCTTCCCCAGGGCATGATTTCTAGCTTCCTGTTTCTGTCTCTTTCTGTCTGTCCTGTGATTGCACCTGCACTGTAGCAAAAATCTCTCTTAAAAAAACCTCCTTTACGTGTTACATGTTAACCCCTTCACTCTTGTTTTAATTTGAATGATCCTTATTCCTGGGTTTTTATTATAGTTTTCCTTTCTTTTAAAAGACTCCCTTTTAGGCATTTCAGCTTTATTATCAGGTCATTAATAAATTAATCTTGTTTAATGATTTAGTTTTTAATTATGTTATGTAAGATTGCCATATATAGAACTTACCTAACCTCTGTTTGCAGCTGTTTAAGACATTGTAAAGAACTATTTTAGCTAACAGATAACATTTTATTGCCTTTTTTCTTGATAATTTGATTAAGCGTTTAAATAGGAAGTGTCAATACCATCTGTTTACAATATTTACAGTTTTTCTTTTCTGTGTATGTGTTTTTTTTTTTCCCCTGATAGGTTCCAATAGCCTTCTGAGCTTAGAAAAAGAAGACCACAAAAGAATTCATTTATCATGACTGGTTTACATATTTTTTTGGGTGTCCAATTTGCCTTTTAATGTTGGTGTAGTAGACAGCTGGCACTTTACAGTGAATAGATAATGAGTTCAAGTACCCTGAACATAAAATGCAAAACCAGTTGTGCTCAGTCTGGGGGAAAGTTACTGTTCCATTTTCAATAAATGATAAAATAAAGCATAGATTTTATTTTTGAATTGTTTTAGAGGGAAGAAGGCTGTTTTCCAGCCAACCCCCCACCACCCTATTAGTATACAACACAGATCTCAGATAGAATTGGTAAAAGCACATAAAGACTAAAATTCACAGTGATTGATTTATTATCCTCATCTTCACAGAACATAATTTATAGTTCTTTACTCACCTGTCTTAGTTTTTCTTATTTTATGATACAGTTGTATTTAATTTTGAATCTGTGAACATTGGTTTACTTATACTTTTTTCTCTCTTCAGTGCTGTTTTAATGGTTCAGTGGCTGAAATGTGTGTTAACGGTCCATGCATCATACCTATCCACAGTAAGTCTTTCTGCTAGTTACTAAGTGTGACTACAAGTAGTTTGGCTTTGATAAGGTTATAAACTTTGATAAGGATGGATGAAAGATGTCTGACCTTCATCCATGAGATGCTTCCTTTAGAGATTTTGTTTTCCCTGAGATTCAATGACATGAGACCTTTTGTTTATTTTTATTTAGTTTATTTATTTATTTATTTATTTTTTGAGAGGTTTTCGCTATAGGGTGTGTGCGCTTGCCAGACAGACAGAGACATAGAGACAGAAAGCGAGAAATTATCCCCCAGGGGGGATGGTCACACCGCAATCCCTTCTCCTCCATTCTCCTCTCGGGATCTTGGCACACACACGCACCCGGCGTGAGTTCTAAGCCACTGGGTCCGGGATGTGAACCGCAGTCGACTACGTGGGAATCCAGCGACATAGCCATTATGCTAACTGCTGGTTCCTGACATGAGACCTTTTATAATGTCACCATCATAGCCTTTTATAAAGTGGACTTTTCTCCCCAGATTTTATTTCTTTACTCTTTCATGAGACAGAGAAGGAGGGGGACAGACAGACAGATAGAAACAAACCCCTTACAGGTTGCTGCAGTCTGTTTCCAGCTTTAGCCAGCCCTGCCTGGATCTTAGGCATGCATATGTACTAGAGATCTCTGGACATGAACCCAGAACCTTCACATGCGTGTCAGCTTTGTGTTTTTTACCATTGCGCCACTGTCTAGTCTCCCTACCTGGACTTTATTGATAAAAGTAATAGCTGTTCCTTGGTATCCTCAAGGGATTGATTTGTTCCAGGATGCCCTGCAGATAGTAAAATGTGTGGATGCACAAGTTTTTCAGTCACTTCTCCATATCTGCAGGTGTAGAAGGAAAATCACTCTGAGGTTGGTTGGAGTCCTTGGCTGTAAAGAGCTGACTGTATTTTAGAGAGAGCTTTAGAAAATACAGAAAGAAAAGTTACATATTGACCCGTTAGCCTTCAGATGTTTATACACTTGAACCAGCAAGGTTGTCTTTCTAGTGTCTGTATTCTTAACCTCCCACTTAAAAAGCTTACCAGGTTTTAAAAGTTTTTATGAATGTTAATGATCCTTAAGAGAATAAGAAGTAGTTTATGATGAAAATAACATAAATATTTAATACTTGACATTTTCCTTAGACTGCTGTCCACTCTTGATTATCTGTACGAATGGAAGAGATGAGCAGAGAATCTCAGTGCATCAGGAATAAACGATTTTATATGTTGCAGCCTATCTTGTTCTCTGTGTCAGGCTTCTTATGCCTTCAGTGGTTTGAAATAGGGAAAATTCTTTGATAACCTGCTTTGAGGTCAGCAGTTTGTACTTTGAGTGTTGGGAAGAGCTCTGCCAAGACATTAGAATGGAGAAGAGTCAGACAGCAGTGAGAATGGTTGTTGGGTTCTCCAACCTGCAGGAAACTTGAGTGGTGATTGGGGGCACATCAGTTGATGTGGTGATTAGCATGGGATGATCACAGCAGATGTCAGGTCCTGGGACCCTGGCTGATTAACACGGTGGAGCTAATTTTGTGACCTCAGTCACTTAAAAATGAGAAGAGGCCCATGAGGCCTTATTGTAGTAAAATGTCTCTTGGAAGAACTGAGGTGTACCTACTGGATTGGTAGTTGGTATAACATTCAGGATCATGTAAAACAGACCAAAGAGGTAAAGTGTTAGGAGGGCCCTCTATCCCACAACAGTTCTTTTCAGAAAGCAATGCTTTTTCTTCCCTCTTTCTTTCCTTCCTTTTTTCCCCCCTCTTAATTTGCGGTAGGTTGTGTGCACTCACCAGGAACAGAGAGAGAAAGTGAGAAAGCACGACCCAGGTGGGATGGCCATGCCACATTCCCGTCTTCATTTTCCTTTAAGGATTTTGGGCATTTACACACATGGCAACTGGTGTGTTTTCCCAGCCGCCAGGTCTAGGATTTGAACTGCCCAGTTGGCCATGTGGGAATCTAGCTGCCTGGCCCACCTTGCTACTTGCTGGCCCACCTTCCTTTCTGCTTTGCTTAGTAGATGTCTTTAAGTGCTTTCTTTAAGCCCAGCGCTAGTCTAGGCATAAGGATTCGGTAATTAACGTACAGAACACTCTGATCACTATCTTTTTGTAGCTCACAGTTTTAATGGAGACATAAAAAAGATGATACTAAATTGAAATGCAGTCACATTAAACCTTGTTTTACTCAAGTTTATTAACATTTGAATGAAATATTATCTCTTAAAGTCAGAAATGGAGCAAGTAAGGGCTAATTAGAGGATAAAGAGGGGACCAGTAGGTGATGTGGTATTTAAAGCAGTGTTTAAGGCACTGGAACCCACATGACCATGGTTTGAGTCCTGGACACAGAGGCATGAAAACCATACTCGGTATGTGTGCATGGGTGCCCAAAATTCTAAGAGGAAAATGGTGAAGGCATTGCGATACGCCTGTTCCCTGGGGACTGGGGATTCCTTTTTAACCCCCCCTCTTGTTCCCTATCTGGTAAGGGCATGGGCCCTATGACAAAAAACTTTAAAAAAAAAAAAAAGGTAAAGAATGGGATCCCTTTTTCTGTAGTGGTAGATGACAAAAGAATTTCCCTCTTCCATTTCTTAAGCATAGTTCAGAGGACTCATAACAAGGAGCATGTTAAGAGTGTCGTGAATTCAGCTGGTACTCTGTCACTATCCTGTTGATCTCTGGGACTGGGGAAATCTTTCTCGAGCTTGCTGGGGTCTAGTAGGGAGGGTAGATAATGCGCTATCACCAGAGGGAACCTTTAGCCCAGAGATGTGTTGTAGAGGTGATTTTTTACTTAAGTGTTTTTTTTTTTTTTTTTTTTTTCTAATTGACGTACATGAAATAATTTGATCAATACGAAGAAGTCCCCCTCTGCATCTAGTCTTACCTTGAAGTTTTTCCTTCTGACCTCATTTCATTGTTTTTTTTAAAAGTTTGCTTTTCTTGTGTGGACACTGAGGGCTTTCTGTGTGGATGTGCAGTATTGCAGCTGTGTGGCAAGCAGCCACTGCCACGGGAAGCACTTGAGAGCAGACACTAGTGGTGCACTGTGAGCACCAGGCACAGTGAGCATGGTCTGTATGCCTGTCCTCTGTCGGGTAATAGTGTCAAATGACTGCTGTTCCCTAGTTGCCTGACCTGGTGCCCCAGCTTGGGACGCTCTACCAGCTGATGGAAAGCAGAGTCAAAACTTTTCAGAAACTCTCACATCTTCACGGAAAGCTTATTCTTCTAATCACACAGGTGAGTAAATAAAACTGTTTGGAGCTAAAACGTTTGATGCGATAGGAATATGGAGAGGGATAAGGAGCATTTGCCTGAACATTTGAGAGCTCCCTTTTTTCAGTAAGAAGTTGGTAAATCAGGATGGAGTCCCTTTTTTTTTTTTTAGTTTTGCCATAGGGTCCGTGTGTTTGCCAGAGAGAGAGAAGGAGAGAGAGATCATTCCCCAGTGGGGATGGCCACATGCAATTCATTCTCCTCCTGGGATTTTGGGCACACGTGCCTGGCATGTTTTTCAAGGCACCCCCATCTGACTCAAATCATGCAGTTGGATGTGTGGGATCCAGTTTCCTTAACCACCATGCTACAGGCTGGCCCAGGGATGCTGTCTTTAAATTGGGAATGTCACCTGATGTTAAGAATGCTTAGCTAGCCTGTTTCAACTTTTACTCAAACTTTTTCTCATCATTGTGATCTCATTACCGTGATCAAAGGCATGTATACAGTTAAAATTCTGGCACAGAACGATAGTCTGACCATCTCAGAGGTTTCAGCTTTTACAGAATAATTTTTTCCTTCTTGTATCCAAAGATTATTTTTGCCCTGTGTTTGGTCTATATCGTATTAGGTCATTCACTGTGGTGGGGGGCAGGTGAATTCACCCATGGTGGGAAAGGTTGGGAGTGGGGTAGTTGTGAGAGTTTGAATGTGCTAATTCTCTACTTTTTTTTACGATACTTTATCGTCTTTCAGGTTACGGCATCAGAGAAAACAAAGGGAATGACTTCCCCTGGACAGAAGGCAAAGCTAGTATATGAAGAAGGTAAAAGCTGGGGGGTATGGGAGAGTCGGTAATGGGAATGTTTAGCGTGTCGCAGTGGCTCAGTTCTGTTTCTTTACTTTGTAAAAACATCGATGTACGATCTTACTTTGGCAAACTAATAGGCAAAAACCTGTGCTCAAATAAAAGAGAAGGCACAAGTGTAATACAGTGACAGAAAAGGACATTAGATAGAGAAAAGGATGAAACAGAAGAACGCTATGAGCAACCTTTATGCCATACATCTGACTACCTAGCTGATAGAGACGATGACTTAGGAAACTTGAGTGACCAGAATTAATTTAAAAATAAAAAGAATTAGAAAACTTGAAAAAGCAAATAGCTCTAAAGTTGACTTAATCAAAATGTTCATAAGATTCTAGGTCTAGACTTTTTAAGGAGATTCTATCAAGCCTTTAGGGAGCAGATAATTTTTGTCATATGTAAACAATTTAGACTTGCTGCGAGTCAGGTATAACCTCATTAACAAAACCAGACCAAGGCTTCAAATGAAGAACATTTTAGACTGTTCTCAAATATCCTGAGTGACAAATCAATTAGAGGAGTGTTTAAGCAAATACTATGTCATTACCAAGTGGAGTTAAAGGTCGTTAAGTGATTTAGTATTAAGACATCTACTAATATGGTCAACACAAAAACCTAGAAACACTATGTTACCATTTTTTTTTTTCTTTTTGGAGAGGTTTTTGCTATAGGGCGTGTGTGCTTGCCAGAAGGACATAGAGACAGAGAGCCAGAAAGTGAGAAATCACCTCCCAGGGGGGATGGCCACGCCACAATCCCTTCTCCTCCATTCTCCTCTCGGGATCTTGGGCACGCACGCACATGTGCCCGCCATGAGTTCAAGCCGCTGGGTCTGGGACTCGAATTGCAGTTGGCTACCTGGGAGTTTAGCGACATAAAACTAATAGGCAAAAACCTGTGCTCAAATAAAAGAGAAGGCACAAGTGTAATACAGTGACAGAAAAGGACATTAGATAGAGAAAAGGATGAAACAGAAGAACGCTATGAGCAACCTTTATGCCATACATCTGACTACCTAGCTGATAGAGACGATGACTTAGGAAACTTGAGTGACCAGAATTAATTTAAAAATAAAAAGAATTAGAAAACTTGAAAAAGCAAATAGCTCTAAAGTTGACTTAATCAAAATGTTCATAAGATTCTAGGTCTAGACTTTTTAAGGAGATTCTATCAAGCCTTTAGGGAGCAGATAATTTTTGTCATATGTAAACAATTTAGACTTGCTGCGAGTCAGGTATAACCTCATTAACAAAACCAGACCAAGGCTTCAAATGAAGAACATTTTAGACTGTTCTCAAATATCCTGAGTGACAAATCAATTAGAGGAGTGTTTAAGCAAATACTATGTCATTACCAAGTGGAGTTAAAGGTCGTTAAGTGATTTAGTATTAAGACATCTACTAATATGGTCAACACAAAAACCTAGAAACACTATGTTACCATTTTTTTTTTTCTTTTTGGAGAGGTTTTTGCTATAGGGCGTGTGTGCTTGCCAGAAGGACATAGAGACAGAGAGCCAGAAAGTGAGAAATCACCTCCCAGGGGGGATGGCCACGCCACAATCCCTTCTCCTCCATTCTCCTCTCGGGATCTTGGGCACGCACGCACATGTGCCCGCCATGAGTTCAAGCCGCTGGGTCTGGGACTCGAATTGCAGTTGGCTACCTGGGAGTTTAGCGACATAGCCATTATGCCAACTGCTGGTCCCAGAAACACTGTGCTATCTTGATAGAGAAAAAGAGTTCAGTAATATTCAGTATTCTTCTCAAATCTTCTAAGCAACAAAGGAATTTAAGACCGTTTCCTTAACTTAAAAAAATCTACACAAAACATTAAAGGTAGTGAGAAAGCTATGAAGACATTTCCATTAAGGTCAGGAATAAGAAGAATGTGCTGTTTTTCTTGATATCCTGTACTATATGAAAGATACGAATTCTAAACATTAGCATTTGTAAATATTGTCTTTCTCTACATAAAAAACACAACAGAATGCACAATCATGAATAGGTAGCAAGCACATTAGTTCCCTCAATACCAAGATTGACAAAAGGGGATGAGAAAAATTGTTATAGATCAGTAATAACTAATCAGAATGTGTATTAGGAAAAAGAGATCTCATTCACAGCACTAACCAAAACTACGAATATCTGGGATATATCTAAAAAATGAAACCAAGCATTATAGAGAAATTATAAAAACATAATCGAAGGGCATAAAAACATACTTGAATAAATTTAAAGGTAAGCCTAGAAAGAGAATTTTCTATGTTGTAAAGTTGCTAGTCATCTTAAAATTACTCTATAAATGTAATATTTTGTTTCTTTGGGAGACCAAAGGACATAGAATGTCTGTGATTTAGATATTCAAGGACATAGAATGTCTGTGATTTAGATATTCAAGCTGGATAAACATACCCTATCAGATATTAAAGATGTACAGAGTGAAAGTGCAAGAGACAGGCCCATAGATTGGCATAGTTACCGTTGAAAAACCTGTATTTTTGTAGAGTGTTGGCAGGTTAGCATTGTCTCATGCTTTATATCAGTATAGAAAAGATACGCCTCATGAGTAAACCACTAGAAAAACTTAATTCCTACAGAACGAGACATCCTACCTGTGTGTATCACACATACTATTTCCTTTCTGTACCTCAATATATTAAAGGAAAGTGTTATTAGAGGAAAATCACTGTAAAATGAACATAAGATATATAGAGGATTTTCTGGAGGAGAAAACAGGACAGATTATAAAAATATAACTACTTTTGAGAAATGCAAATTAAAACCTCAGTGAGTAGGTATTTTTTTTATTTTTATTTTTTTTTTTTTGAGAGAGAGTTTTGTTATAGGGCACATGCGCTTGCTGGAGAGACAGAGAGAGACAGAAAGACAGTGAGAAATTACCCCCTTGGGGAGAAGACCAGGCCACAATCCCTTCTTCATTCTCTTCTCGGGATTTTGGGCATGCATGCACACTTGCCCAGTGTGAGTTTTAAACTGCCAGGTCTTAGACTCAAACCACAGTCAACTATGTGGGAGTCCACTGATAAAACCAGTATGCCATCTGCTGGTCTCGATGATAATTTATATGGTGATAAATTGATAAATTTAAAAGACTCTGAAAATGGTCAGCTGTGGGCAAGGATTTAGAGAATTGGGAACTCACACTGTGGTGGAAATATGTTTGTGTTAAAATTGCTAGAAGGCCCATGTACTCAATAGAGAAAGAGGGAGAAAGCACTCACTCAATTGGGCATGCCCATGCCATAATTCTGTCTCCTCCATTGCTGTATCCTGTTGAGATCTTTATGTGTGTGTGTGTTAAACATTTATTTGTTGTGATTTTTAAATCATCCAGTCCAGGACTTGAACTGCAGTTGGCCATGTGGGAATCCAGTGTTTTACGCACCATGTCGTCATCTGCTGGCCCTAAAAGCCAGCATTTGTATATAGTTTTTCTTCAACTGAGGCTATTTTGTAGCCCAGAAATGGCTTAGTGTTTTACGGGATTTTGTAAGGCTCTGGTACTTAGTCTGGCTCAGTGAGGTCTTGAAGGGTTAGTATAGTAAATGTGCTATTATGCAGATAAGAGTGTTAAAATAATATATCTCGGATGATAGCTGAATGTAAGGAATATTTCTAAAAGTAAATTGAGAAATCTGGTTCTGTTTAATTTTTAGGGGTGTACACTCTGCTTTGTTCACACAATTAAGGCTGGTTATTTTGTTTTTGTTCCTCTCACTTACCAGAATCTTCTGAAGAGGAGTCTGATGATGAAATAGAAGATAAGGATTCAGATGTGAGTGATTTGATTCCTGGTACATATGTCTACCGTTATATCCTCATTCTCTATTAGAACGAGTCTTTCATGAATGCTTTCCTTGCTTAATATTTCTACCAGGATAATTGGGATGAAGATGAGGAAGAGAAAGACAGTGAAAAAGAAGAGGATATTGATGAAGAGAATGAAGAGGAAGATGAAGATACCGAAGAAAATGGTGAGGACAGAGATGTAGCAAGTGAAAAAGAGTTAAATGGAGATTCTGATTTAGATCCTGAAAATGAAAGTGAAGAAGAATGAAGACAAAAGCAAGCCGATTGAACTGTGTAAACTCTGGCTCACGTTGCCCAGGGCTGCAGAGTTCTCCTGGGGAGGGTTGACTGTGCCAGGATGCCAAGGACCACTATGCGTTTCCAAATTTTACAGCGATGGTTCCCACACCACCTGCTGTCCTGAGCACCCCAAACTTAACTGTGTAAATAAGAGTGTTTCCTTCAAATGTTAATAAACTTTACACAGTAAATAGATAAATTTTCTGCAATGTATTGACATGAGTGTCCAATATATGGTATATTTTTATAATATATCCCAGTATGATTGGTTATATCAAGAATTGACGTGAGGATAACAACCTTTCCGTCTGGATCAAGAACTGGACTACCGTGAAGGGATCAGCTCTGTCTCAGGTTGGTATCTTTCATCAAATCCAGAAGCAAGGTGACACTAGGGAATCATTTTTTAATTTGGTATATATTTAATTTGACAATTTCATAAAACATGAAGGGATAATGAAAAATGATTGTGATTAAAGAAACAAACCAACAGACACTGGTATCCCTGACTTGTCTGTTACCTGTGGTAATCTGGCAGGAGTCAGCTCAGATTTGGGCGTGTTTCCCAAAGATAACTACTTATTTTTAAAGCTGTCATGTGAAATATTTTTTTAAGACTAAACAAAACAAAATTATGCTAATGGAAAAACAAAACTTAGCCATATTAAAGGTTTTTTTTTCCTTACTGCAGATTGCCTGTAAAGACTCATCAGTATATAGATTTTAGACATGCTCATTACTTGCGACTTTTTAAAAAATCCAGTTAAACTGCGCTGCTTTTGAGGAGGTTTTCATTTTTATTTAAATTACTAATGGATCAAAGAACAATTGTTTATTTTTTTCTCTTTGGTTTTAGATATTAATGATAACCTTGTTGGAATTTTTTTCCAAAGAAAATATTTTTATAATTCAGTAATTTAATGTTTTCCTTCTTTTCATCACCCACTCTTGGCAGTGTTAGGGTAAAATGTTTACCTTTAAGATAAAAAGTCTGACTCAAGATTTTTTATATATGTATAAATAAGTATTTTGGTGCGCTACAAAAGCCTTTTCAAATTATCAGTACATTTCTTTTTTTATTTTTTTTTTAAAGAATGACCTCGTGTTTGCTTAGTGCTTACTAGGGGACATGCAGATTGAAGCTCACCTATAAGGGAGGGCTGGGCAGATGGATTTATTTTTTTCCCACCTGTGAATATGTAAAACAAAACCATTATCTCTGAGGGACTTTTTAACATCAGTGGCGGAACATATTTCTATGCCCAGCAAATAAGGCTGGAGCCGTATACACATTTCGGGAAAGCTAGCTTGAACCAGCTACTGGTGTGTAATGTACAGTTATATTTGTCTATAAATGGAGCTGTTTATGGCAATTTAATACCATTCTCTTTGTAAAGTGAATAAATATTCATCTTTACCCAGTGCTTGTCTTGTGGTATATGTACAGGGTTATAGCCACCTGTTTGGGGTTGTGTGTGAAGGTTTTTAAAAAGCAACTTTATTTCTCTAGCCTTGGAAGGTAATTGCTTTCAAGGCTTATTGGTAACCTCAACTTTTTTTTTAAATAAGTATTTTATTTAACTTTATTATTTATTTATTCATTTATTTTAAGTTGACCAGAGGGATAGAGTGAGGGGGAGGGAAAGTGAGAAAGGAAGCCACGAGGTCTGGGACCTGAACTGTGGTTGGCAGCCATGTGGGAGTCTAGTACCCCTAACCACACCACCTTTTGGCCCCAAGCAATCTCAAGTTTGTAACAAAGTGAAAGAACCTAGTTGTAGCTGATTGTTTATGTAGTCCCACTTGGCTGGGTACCATGTGGGTCATACCATGACTCAGGATTGTAGTGACAGTAATGAGGTGGCATATGCTGCTAGATTCCATCCTGTCATGGCAGCCAACACCACCTGGTTCATGATCAGATTTTCCTTATATCTGACTGTTTAAAGAAGTAAATGATGGACTAGCAGTGGTGTGGTGGTTAAGGCTCTGGATCCCACTTTGTTGCCTGCTCTGTTTGAGTCCCAGACCCAGTGGCTTGAAAAATGTGCTGGTGTGTGCCCGTGTGTGCCCAAAGTCCTGAGAGGGGGATGGAGGAGAAGAGATTTTAGCATGGCCATCCTCCCTGGAGGTGATTTCTTGCTCTCACTCTGTCTCTTTCTCTCTAGTGAACCCTTGTGCCCTCTAACAAAAGACTTTTTTAAAATAGTAAATGACAACAAGTAGGTAGTAATTTCTTAATTTTTTTTTTTTTTTTATTTAGAAAAATCCAGATTTAACTTAGGTCTGTCACAAAAGGAATTTTCTGGTGTTAGGATATTTTACTGTCTTAATTTTCTCCTAATCCATACAGTAAAGTTGTTTTTGTGTGTTTCTTTCTGAAACTTAATTTTGAAAGATGTTAATCCTTCCAGTCGTGATCAAGTCATGGCGCAGGTATCTTATTTGGCTGCCGTAGAGTCCACATAGCTTAAGCTGTGTTGTTGAATGTCCTGCGCTCTGGATTTATCTCATTGTTTTCTTATGTTTAGATTCTGGCTTGATTGTTTTGTTAGGAATCCCAGGTAGGTGGTGGTATTTGAGATGGACTTGTAAAAGTGAGTTCTGTGGGTTTAGAGGGATATGTGAGTGTGTTACGGTGTAAGTAGCTATCAGGGCTTTCACTTTGGGGTTTGAAGCCTTAGTGCAGATGCATGTTTGAGGGTCAGAAATTGGGTCTTGGTGATGGGACCATTTGGGCGCATTGATGTATCGAAGGATGATCCAATTCCCAACATTTCTACATTGATTCATTTACCAAACATTGATTGCCTACTGTGTGCAAGGAAGTGTTCAGTTGCTTATTAAAAATTATTGCAAACAGCAGAAAATGACACCTCCCTTTGAGGAACTGACTTTGTACTGTGCAGATAACTGGCGGTAAGCAGTGTGTGATGAGTGAATGCCATAGAGCATGTTAGCAGATGGTGAGTGAAGCAGGATAGGAGGTTGGGAGTTGGGTAGGGGAATGTAGGCTGCAGAATTAAATAAGAGATCAGGGTGGGGCTTACTGTAGAGGAGGGATATGACCATGAACTAGGAGGAGGTGAAAGCTAAGTGGATATGATATCTTGGGGGATTCGTTCTAGGCAGAGGGAACCACTCAAGCAGAAGCCCAAGGCTAGCACATGCTGGTGTGTTGAAACACTGAGGGGGTTTCAGTATGGCACTAAGTGTGAAAGGGGGAGTGCATCAGTTAGAACAAAGGCAGTAACAGGTTCCCTGGGGCCTTGTAGACCATTCCTGCACTGACTGGAGGAGGGAGATGTGGTGGTTCGGCAGAAAGGTGAGGTGGTTTGCCATGTGTTGAAAGTTTAGCGTCAGGGCCAGCAGGTGGCATGATGGTTAAGACACTGGACTTGCACATGGTCGACCACAGCCAAGTTCCACACCTGGCAGCTTGCTTTCTCACCTCCCCTGCCCCCCAGTGTCTGGTGAATTTGATAATAATAAATACAATAATTCTAAAAAGAAAAGAAAGTTTAGTATCGCCTTGGCTGCTGTGTTGGGAAAAGATGGAAAAAAGATGTGTCGTGATATTCTAAGAGCGAGATGACTTCGACCAGGGAGGTAGTGATGGAGTTGGTGAGAATTGGTTGCTTTCTGGTATTTTGAAGTTAGAGCCAGTGGGACTTTTGGTGAGATGTGAGACAGCAGAGCTGTGATTCTGGCATGGTCTCTGTTAGAGCCCTGGGTGCTGCTGCAAATGCAGCATGTTGGCGAGGTGATAGGGATTGAAATTTGGATGCATTGCGTTTTAGATGTCTGTCTGGCGAGCCAGTCCATACTCTATTGACTTGAGAAGAAAGGTTGAGGCTAATGGAGACCTGGACGTGACCTTAAAGCTCTAAGACAGGGGACACTTCCCCAAGGGCATGATGTAGATAAGCTTGGCACTCCAGCTCTGGAGAAGGCCAGGGACACCAGGGAAGAGTGGCAGTGAGGTAGGCAGAGGTGACATTTCTCTTCCATTCTCTTCCGTTGGGTTTACGACGTTCCTCAGCTGTGGTTTCTTTCGGTTGCAGTTGATACGTGATGACTGGTGAGCCTCTCTAGGCGGCAGTGGTTTTATAATGCCCACCCTGTGACCATTTGTTGACCTTTCCTTTGTAGGCAACTCAGGCATACAATTAGATACGCTTTTAGTCTCGCGGTCTTGACTTTTGTGGCGTCTCAGCATTATCCCTTGTGCTGACAAAATTGTAGCCTGGGTTCACAAAGCAGTGGCAGACTGAGAGGCCACAGTAGTGTCAGTGAATTAGCAGGCACCATTCAGACTCTTCACACTGAATGGAAGAAAGCTGAGATGGTGCTCAGTCTTTGCCCTGCCCTGCCTCCCTCTTCCCTTCCTTTGTTTATAATTTGCCAGAGGGTGCATGTGCTGAGATAGAGTGAGAAAGCACCCCATGTGGGGCATGGCCATACTGCAGTCGCTTCTGCACCTCTCCCTCTCAGGATTCTGGGCATGTGTGTACATGTGCCTGACATGTTTCTCAAGCTGCCAGGCCTGGGACATGAACTGAGAGGTAGGCCGTGTGGAATCTAGCTGCCTTAACCACCATACCATGGCTAGCCCGGTGCTCCAACTTTACACAGTGCTGGCTGACTTGGCATGAGAAAACTAGATTGACTCCTCATCAGTATTGTAACTGCTGTTCTTCATGTGTGTGCAGGTAATTTCTACTGTGAAAGAACCGATTTTAAGTCTAGAGAGCAGTGAAATAAAAGTTTTTGGAATGCAGTGCATGTGGCATTGCACTTTGGGAGGTGAGATGTCAAAGGAATCCAGAGGTGAAAAAGGACCATTTAAAAAGTAGCCTGCCATATTGTAAGCAATCATGACTCAAGGAGGTGGAACTGCAATATTTTTGGGGTATTAAAGTTTAAAAATCAGTGCCAGCAGATAGCCTAATGGGTACGTTGCTGAACTCCCACATGGCTGACCACGGTTCAAACCCCAGACCTGGAGACTTGAAGTTCACACCAGATATGTGTACGCACATGCCCAAAATTTCTAAAGGAGGATGGAGGAGGGATTTGCAGTGGAGCCATCTCCCTGGGGGCCGATTACTCACTTTCAGTCTGTCTCTGGGGAACACACATGCCCTATAGCAAAAATCTCTTTAAAATTTTTTTAAAGTGATTTTCTAGTGGAAATAGGTAATGAAGACATCTTGTGTGGCTCACCTGTGGTCTTGTAGTTCTGTTAGATTCCTCCTGGTCCTCAAGTTGGTGGTGGACTCAGTGGAAGCGAGTTGGTTGCCTGGCCTGTGTAGCTGCGGAAGTCAGGGGCAGGACTTTGCAGCCTGCTTAGCAGGCCCTGTGTGCTCTGTATGTTCAGAGCTGGGCCAGAGTTTGGTGGGTTTAGAAACCCAGTCTTGTCTTTACTCCGGAGCAGATGCAGTTGCACATAGTTAAAACATTAAGCAGGTTTACAGAGAAACTACTTTCATGGTGAGTATTTACAGCGAGAAATGCCTCAAGTGGAGCACGGTCTTCATGTTAGTGACAGCTTTCCACACTGTCACACGCTAGCCAGTTTTCAACTAGAAGATTGTTTTTGAACTAGATTGCAAAATTGGACTAAAATGAGGTGGATAGTGTCTTGATAGCCCCTCCGCCCCTTTTATTGTGGTGAACGGAATGTACCTAATGTTTACCATTTTAACTATTTTTAGATGTTCAGTTCTGTGTCATTGCAGTCATACTATGCAACTGGCAAAGTCTATTTAATGACGACTTGCGAGATGATCAGGTTTAGGAAATTAAAGAACTGCTCGCAGGAATACTAGTCAGTTTGCTGTGGGAAGAGACTG